CGCAACGCCCAAGCCACAGACGCCGACACACACATATATATATATATATATATATATATATATATATATATATATATATATATATATATATAGTTAGTTAGTTAGTTAGTTAGTTAGTTAGTTAGTTAGTTAGTTAGTTAGTTAGTTAGTTAGTTAGTTAGTTAGTTAGTTAGTTAGTTAGTTAGTTAGTTAGTTAGTTAGTTAGTTAGTTAGTTAGTTAGGTCAAGAATTGACATCACAGCACTCGGGGCATTCCCATGCGTGCTCAGTCCTCATCTTCAGCAACCAGCGCAGAGTTCCAGTACTGATGGTACCTGTCACAATCTGGTTATATGTCCGTTTCGTCTTTCATCTGAGTGTAGCGAGTCAGCCAAACCCTCTGGTTACACTCAGGTGCCTCATTCTCTCCCGGCCATATTAATCTTGTTTCTCTACTGATTCCGTTAATTGTTCCCAAAGGGCCTTGACCACATATGCCTTGTCATGTATCAGTTCACCACCCAGTGGTGCAGATCCAGCCAATCTGTCTGACTGTTCATTACCCACCACGCCGGAATGACCAGTAGAAAAGATCCAAAGTATGCTAACTACCCGTGATCTTTACATTCAAGCTTGCCACTCTGCTCGAAGCATATATATATATATATATATATATATATATATATATATATATATATATATATATATATATATATATATATATAATGTTCTAATATTGACAACGCCAGTTGAAGCCAGACGTATGCCGCGTTGTTGTCCCCTCTGTCTGTCTACGGCCGCCAAGTAACTTCAGCAGTTCTGTTTATTTCACACCTGACTGGATATTTGCCTTATCTGTATTCCACGGGGAATCACACACGAACGGCGTCAACAGATCCGATCAATATAGACTAGATCGATAATAATTGCAAGGGTTTTGGTCCCCTAGCACAGAACATGAAGTATAGGGACAACACTGGCGGATCATTTTACGACTTGATTTACTTTTTTAATTTTTCGTTATTTGCATGTTAAAAGAATCAGTCTAACAGGGGCGCAGCTACAAAGAAATCATTGAGAGCACTCAGCCGCCGTTTTATATTCGGGGGGGGGGGGGTATATAGTGATGGCATTAAGAGCAGCCTTACAGAAATGAATACCAGTCCTAAGAGTGTTTTTGACAGAGCTCATCAACGAATGTTACATCATCCTGACTCTGTCTTGCCACTGGACTCAGAGAGAGAGAGAGAGGTCGACGACACTGCTCAACTCTTCCTCACTTTAATCCAAGTCACCGCGCAAGTCACCCTTTCATCACCATCCAAAGGGCGCGGCTATACGTGAAGCAAACAGAACAGCAAGACTGATTAAAAAAAGGATGGACAGAAAGGAGTCTGCATGAGATCCCCCTCCCTGGCACAACGCTTATTCCCTGTCCTCACTGTCCAAGAACCTTTCGGGCCCGCATCGGCCTCATCGGTCATCTTCGTACTCATACTTGATGAAAAAGAGTGGTCATCATCATCATCTTGATGAACAATACACACACACATCTTCCTCCGACACTTCGCTGAGGTACGAGGTGGAAGAGAAGAAAAAGACGAAGGTAGTGCTCTTCGGGGTCAAGCCTTGTTTAAGTGTGCAATAATAATATTATGTGATGAATAAAAAATTAATATAACATCTGAAATAATTTTATACATACAAACTTAAGACTTAAAAGATAACGTCTATACATGGTTTTGGGGGAAAATGGTGGGGGTGGGGGGCATTTAGCCGTATTACAAATTTTCTTGGATGGTGTGGTAACGAGAGAGGGGGGGGGGGGATGAGCTTTTTAGCTTCCCTACCAATTTCCAGTGTGTATGGATGCTGGTAAAAAAATTTAAAGTACCCTTTTTCACGCTTTTATGTGTATTAGGCATATAGGGCTAGACCTGTATTTTAAAGACACACCGGCACTTGTTGATTGATGTGGTCAATATCAGGCCGCCAGCCACCTTTACTTCCCAGGACATTAACTGGTACCCATTTAGGGCTGGGTCGACCTAGGAGCTAAGCTAATTTAAAAAAAAAACGCCCGGCTCCGTTCGCATTTGAACTCTCGACCTTCTAACCAGAGGGTGGGCGTCTAATGGGACTTTTTCCTTTGCTCACCCTATCTCGTGGACCCCGAGATTTCTTTGGTAGTTCCCGGGATAGTCTACTAGTATAGGGGTGTTGGATGTGAAATGAACACCGAGTTACACTAACCCAAAACTGTACATACACTTTTCCGGGAACTTCCCACGAAATCTTGGAGTGCCCCGAGATGGGTTAAACAAATATAGAAAAGTGCCCTTCTAGCGGCTGCGTCATGGTTTGCAGATTGCTGTCCCTCCTACAATATTATGGGGGGGGGGTCAAGTTTCCGGCGCCCCTGCTGTCTAAAACAGCGACCCCCTTCCTCCCCGCCCCCCCCCCCACCCCTTTCCGCCCTTTCTCACACATACACACACACCCACTTGTTTTCGTTAAGTGCCTACAGGGTCAAAACACGACCTGCTGTATGGATATTTTTATTTGACACGGTGCCTGGAGTAGCGGTGACTACGTTAGCCGATTTAGTTGACACCGGGTAAGTCTCTCATTTGATTCATTCTCTAGATATGCGGATAAACAGAAGAATAGGTGGTGTTTCATAGAGACAAAATAATCATCTCTAGATATGCAGATATACAGAAGAATAGGTGGTGTTTCATAGAGACAAAATAATCATCTCTAGATATGTGGATGTACAGAAGAATAGGTGGTGTTTCATAGAGACAAAATAATCATCTCTAGATATGTGGATGTGCAGAAGAATAGGTGGTGTTTCATAGAGACAAAATAATCATCTCTAGATATGTGGATGTACAGAAGAATAGGTGGTGTTTCATGGAGACAAAAACAATCATCTCTAGATATGTGGATGTGCAGAAGAATAGGTGGTGTTTCATGGAGACAAAAACAATCATCTCTAGATATGTGGATGTACAGAAGGATAGGTGGTGTTTCATGGAGACAAAAACAATCATCTCTAGATATGTGGATGTACAGGATAGGTGGTGTTTCATGGAGACAAAAACAATCATCTCTAGATATGTGGATATACAGAAGGATAGGTGGTATTTCATGGAGACAAAAACAATCATCTCTAGATATGTGGATGTACAGAAGAATAGGTGGTGTTTCATGGAGACAAACACAATCAAATGCAGATGTGTTGAAGAAACTAGAAATGAGGAAAGAGATGCTGAAGGGAATTAGACGGTTCTAGTTAAACATTTCGACCCTAATAAAAAAAAATACTAGCAAGCGAGCAAAAAGGTAGACAGCCAGAAAAATGGTAGGATAATGTCAAGAGATGGGCAACTAGAAGTCTGAGAGAGTGTACACCCAGGGCAAAAGTCATATTTTGGCGATCCATTACATCCAATCTTCATTGTAGATACGGCAACAACAAAAAACAGGTGTGGGACATGGGCAATGACAACAGCTCACAGAAGCCAGCTTCAGGCCTCAGAAATGAATTATCTGAGAAAGGTGGTCCAAGTGACAACAGCTCACAGAAGCCAGCTTCAGGCCTCAGAAATGAATTATCTGAGAAAGGTGGTCCAAGTGACAACAGCTCACAGAAGCCAGCTTCAGGCCTCAGAAATGAATTATCTGAGAAAGGTGGTCCAAGTGACAACAGCTCACAGAAGCCAGCTTCAGGCCTCAGAAATGAATTATCTGAGAAAGGTGGTCCAATTCACAAAAAGGGACTGAGTTCTCAATTAGACAGTATGTCAGGATCCTGAAACCCAAGCCTTACAAACTCGAGTCGATCATTCAGTTTGGACATGTATGCAAAATGGGAGAGAATCGTCAAACATGGCAGGCATGGGAAGCAAACAACCAGGGAACCAGACCTTCAGGACGACCCAAGGATTTACTGGGAAGACAACATCCGACAGTTCCTGACTGAAAGAGGACTGGAATAGGACAGTTAAAATGAAAACTCTGATAGAGAAGTCTGTCGATCTCTCTGGCAAACCTCAACATCCCAGGGTTGAAGAGGAGAGACAAAGTATGTATATAAGATGACAAATAATGAAGTCCGATGTTGCTGTCACCTATTGACACCTTTTTAAACCACCAACTACATTTTCCTGCCATCACATAACCATTTGTGACTGACTTATTGACTTCCCATCGTAACTCTCTTGTTTACACAGCTTTTACCTTTATTTCATCTGCCATTCTCACTAGTTACCCCAGCCATTTCAGTCTGTTAGCTCTCGTCAAGGCAATTTATTATTATTATTATTATTATTATTATTATTATTATTATTATTATTATTATTATTATTATTATGTGTCTTGTTTCTCGTTGTTGTTTACAGACGAAAGCTTTTCACAGCAACCACATTAGTTTATTACTGTAATTATCTACTTCGAGTCTAGTTTTTTCATTTTTATTTTGGTCTTCAAAGTTTAAAAAAAAAACTGGATATTTATTTGCGAGCAGATCGTGTTGAACAGATATGGACTTAATACGAAGATAACTGCCGGTGTCTTGGAGGCGATCAGGGCTGATAAACATCAGTTGTATTATTTTCTTACCAGTGTGTGCAGGCGTACAAGGCAATGAGAAAGCTGATAGGCTTACAGGTAGGGCTGCAATAAAGGCCAAACAAGGACCAGACTGATATAAAGAATGCTCTACGAGATGCAAGAGGTTGCGAGAATCAAGAAACGATTGTCAATTTGCAACCTTGACCAGACTGCAAGAGCATCAGGTTAAAAGGGGTGTAGCCAGGCAAGAGCACTATGCAGAAAGCCGAAGAAGAATAAACCAACACAGAACTGGTATCGTCAGCCACTACACGCTGCGAGATTTACTGAGAAGGGGATCCGAGCATTTATGGACTGAATGGTTCTATGTGCAATGAGGATGGTCTGTTGACTAACAAACTAGATGTTATAATTTATTTTTATTTTTTCCGATGAAGTAGATTATGACAAGTACAGAAGCCATCAACGCAGACAAGAGCGGCAACATGGCTGGCCAATGCTTTGTTGTTGTCAAATATGGCGGTAGGTAAATGTCTATATTGTTGTTGTTGTTATTTTCATAGCCTTCATCCTCCATTCTGCTGTCAGCCACCATGGAGAAGAAAGTTTTCTCTAGCGCTCGACGGCAGTACTTGCTTTTGTCGTTAAATATGGCGATAAATGCGCGTCACTATTGTTGTTACTTCTCATTAGAATCTTCCACTGTTGCTGCCAATCGTGGTGGGAGGGGGGTGGAGGTGGGTCGCTGGTGATCCAGTACTGAAGGAATGGACGGCACTGACCATTGCCATTGCCATTGCCATTGCGTGGGGATGTAAACTGTCTCTAAATGTCGTTAATCCATCTTTTTTCTTGGCTCCTATCGGGTTTTTTATTGAAAAAAAAGGGGGTAGGGGTAGGGGTAGCCAGAGCTTTCAAGTTTTGGTGGCACGCAATGGTACTCAGTACCAGCACATTTGTTCATGAATGGAATCCAGTCCAGCGTCTTTAGCCTCTCTCAACAACGTTCGTCTAGGGGTTTTTCGCTGATGTCTGTTTCCTTAGTCCATATGGTTCCATTGTCAGCCCTAATATAACCTAACGGTTGAACGGGGTTTCTGGAACCTCTCCACGGGTGATCCCCATCCTAATGGTGGTACTTTGTGTCACTGTGTGATGTCCTGGTGGGGTAGAAAGTCAGTCAGTCAGTCAGCGCTTGTTTGGTGATTCTCTGTTCGTTTCTCTTTATGGTTCATTCAGTATTTTGATATCTTCTTTGACTTATAACTGATGATACAAACGGTTGCCCAGACATTTATTGCTTCTATTGTTTGTGCGCAAAAGACACTATATATAGTCAGCAGTTGTTGTGTCCTCACCGTTTCAAAAATTAAAAAAAATTTAAAAAAAAATAAAAAGGCTTGCTGATAACATCACAACATCTTACATGAGAATGGAGGTGGATACAAGATAGCCTTTCGACATGCTGTAATTATAATCTAACTAATAGAGTATACTTCGGGAAATAGAAACTGGTGTCTTGCAATCAGAGTGGCTTGCAGTGGCAGAGAAAAGAATTAGATGAGAAGCGTATCATTGATTTTTCTGGCGAGGAAATTCGGTTGTACGCGGCAATGAGCAGGCAGATATATTAGCTGCTGCTGCCACTATGGGCCTTTATGATAAAGCGGATTTCGTGAAGGCTCTTTGTGATCAAGTCAGCAGCGCAGCAGGGCAGTCAGTGCACCCAGGTCAAAAAAAAGATTGATTCAACGGACAGTGAACAAAGCATCTGGACGATTGTCTACCGGCTCAGGGGAGAAAACAGGCGACCAGACTGCATCTGTCAGCTTGAGCATGGGAGCCTCTCGTTGGCAAACGAAGAAGGGGACGGAACACGCATTGGTAAGTCCGGAGTGCAGTGATAAAACGTCATTCATTCGTTTTATTATCGTTATCTGTTGCAGACAACGAGGAAGCTGTGTTGAACCCGTGCTGTTCCACTCAGATTTTTGTGGATTCCATCAAAAGAAAATGCCACTGTGACAGCAGCAGTAAGTACTGTAGACCTTGTATCTGGTTGATGTAGCTATTGTCAGTTGAAGGTTGAATTAAGAATCTACATCACAGCACTCGAACACCCCAATAAATTCCGATGGTACCAGTAACTGTCTGAAAGAGTATCTGTCTCGCCTTTCCCCTGAGTGTCGAGCGTCGGCCAGATCTCTTTGTAACTCCTCGCAGTGCCATTCTCTTCAGACTGTAATGATCTATCTGTACTTCGGCACTGTTCACTCGCTCCCAAAGGGCCCTCACAACATCCAGCTTGTCATACACCAGTTCACCACCATGTGGTGCAGAACCGGCAAGTCTATCTGCCAACTCATTTCCCAACAAAACCGGCATTAGCTGGAGAAAATATCCAAAGGATGCTAACTACCCGGGACCTTTGAAGTGATGCTTGTCACTCTGTACGGAGCAACCTATCTCCACCTAGTTTAACCTGTCTCCACCTAGTTTAACCTGTCTCCCCCTAGTTTAACTGCTCAAGAAAATGTTCCATAACATTGTATTTTGTCAGCATGGAGATTTAACTGCTCAGTGAAAGTTTCCATAACAATCGGTTTACTGACTTGATTCAGCATGTAGACAGACAATTGTCACTGTTCCATTTGACGATAAAACTGCGATTCGTGTCCAACCTGTCACGTGTCACCGACGATGCGCGTCGAACAAAGAAAATGGGGTGGGGGGGGGGGGGGGTTTACAAGGTTCTAAATCTGGTTTAAGAGAATAAAAATAATACACAGCACTGATTCATTATTAAATATTATTGAAATTTAAAAAAATGTTAAATAATTACTTTTAACGTGAATTTCTACACCTGGTTATAGAAGGCTTTTTATCTTTTTTTACAAAATTATATATTACTATGAAGGCCCGGGATTGTGAGAAAACTTTTTATTCTCATCTTTGTCTCCGCTGCTGTCATATATGGGGTAGAAACTCCTTTCCGGTTCTCTTGGAGGCCCTTGTTTCCTAAAACCCATTAATGTTCAATTTCAGCGCATGTCTGGCAATTCTTTGAATTTTCAATAATTGTTTATAGTGTGTGGGAGCAGGCCCCCTAAGTTATAGCCCGAGGTGGAGTGGTAAGAGCGTCCTAGATCAGTTCCTTCTCATAGTTAGCAATACTGTCGCCTTGGCGTCCAGTGATGGGGCAGAGACCCGGGGCGTTTCTTAGGTTTATAATTCGGGGTGTTGACAGTTCCTCAAATCTGACCCCCCCCCCCCCCCCCCTTCCCCAAAAAGCAACAACACCCTTATCTTACAGTCTAAGTTTAATGGATATAACTAAGAAATTTAATTTACCTAAATTAATGTAAAGAATGTAAGAGGACAATATATTCAAAGAAATATAACTCCAGCAAAAATGTATCTTTACTGATTGTCGCAATAAATAAAAGAAGTGCACTATAACATGTCCCCCATTTGTAACTGTTAGATCAAACTGTGTAGCCATAATGACAATTGAAATGTTAATCCATGTATTGGTCACGGTTTGGTAGCAGTTAACAGTTCATTTAAAATGAACCCACAAAATATAGAGAGGTAATGTGATTTAAAAAATTTATATATATTTTTTTGTTTAGGTAAATAGGGAGCCTCAAATGGCCTGAACACTCAGGTTTCGGTGTCGCTGTGAATGAAACCATGTATACAGCCACGATAAAGAGTCAGAATAGCATTATTCATTCATTTCCCCGACAAGACTGCAGGTTAAACGAGGGTAGGATGCAGTGGTAAGGGATGTTCAATCTGCGTAAATAAGCGTTAGGAGGTATCGATTGCACGAGGAAGGTTATCACGTGATATTACTCTCCTCGTCGCTTCGCTGTTGAGAGTATGCTGGCACTGCTAGCATCGTAGTCATCATTATTCCGTATCGTTGGGTCACTAGTTGCTGTTGACTGTCTGCTCAGTTCCCTCCACTTTTGAGGGTCAGATAGTAAAGACTTCATGGCTGCATGCTCAAGGTCTGTCCAGTCAGCCAAGTTCTGAATCCAGGTCTTTTAGGGAGTTGTTTCTTCTCATTTACTGAACCCTGTAACATTGTTTTTTTAGATACAGTTAGATTTTCCCTCTTATAAATAGCAAAATAATGCATTTTTCTTTCGCAATGGAAAGTGTAAGAACTGATTACAAGCCTTATTTACACGACTGGCTGGCTGACTTTCTACCCCACCGACATCACACACGCGATAAACACCCGGTGACACAAAGTGCCACCGTGTGGGTGAGGATCACCGTGGAGAGATGAGGATCACCGTGTGGGTGAGGATCACCGCGGAGAGGTCCCGGAAACCGCGTTCAGCCATTAGGCCATATTTATGGCCGGGCTATATTGCGGCCTCTGACAAAAGCCAGAGTAGGGCTTCAAATAACGAAAATTTTTATCCTAAACAGATATGAAACTGATAATTATTTACACACCTCGACACTGCACTAGTTCTTGGTTTATCTGTTACGGGTGGCCTCATTACAAATTCTTTTGAGTCTGAAAGTGAGTGAGTGAGTGACTTTCTACCCCACTAGGACATCACACAAGCGATAAACACCCGATGACACAAAGTGCCATCATGTGGATGAGGATCACCGTGGAGAGGTCCCAGAAACCACGTTCAGACATTTGGCCATTTATATGGCCTGCCTATATTGCGGCCCCTGGCAATAGCCAGAGTGGGGCTTCAAATAACAAAAAATTACGTCCTAAAAAGGACGTAAGGATGAACTGCTCTGAAAGTGGTATCTTGGGATTAGCATTGTCCTTTTGGATTACCATACAGGATGTGCCTCTTTGGCAGTTCCTATAAATACTGTTACTTGATTAATTCTTTGGCAGTTGAAGAGCTGGGGCACAGACAGGCGATCATGAAACCCGCCCTGTCACAGACAGCACATAAATTGTACATCTACTTAGAAACAAACACTTGTTGCCAGGGGACACCAGCACTAAGATAATCAAACAAAGCGGTGACGATTTAGTCCCCTTAGAAATTTTATATGGGGCCCTAAGTAAAGTAAAGGTCTCTTTTCCAAGTCTTCATGCGTATTGTGAATATAGGGCTAGCCTATATTTGTAGAGACCAACTGACATGTTGTGGGTGATGTGGTCAGAATCACGCCGGCATCCTTTACTTCCTAGGACTGCACCTGGTACCCACTCAAGGCTTGGTCGACGTGTAAGTCAAGGTCATTTTGTGAAAAAAGTCCGGCTCTGCTTGGACGCGAACCCACGACCTTCCGATCCGCAGGCCGGCGTCTAGCCGCCAACGCAACGGCGGCTCCCTATATGTGGCCCTAAGCCGTGTTCAAATGTTTAATAATAATAATGAGCTTAAGGGAAAATAAATATACTAATACTTGAGGAGGTGGGGGGGAGTATACGTACTGGTGCCTGTCG